AAAATCAACTGAAAATGAAAGATTATATTTACATTAATACATTTTAGAAATTTAGAAGGGGATTTCTGGAGATTTCAGTATTTTTCAAAGTTGAAATCATGAGTCAATTGAAGCTAGACCACCATCGAAAACCTGGAAGCACTGGACGGCCGTTTCGTCCTAATATGGGACTCCTCAGCGAGAGTGGTTTCGTGGATGCGCACTGCTGAGGAGTCCCATAGTAGGACGAAACGTCCGTCCAGTGCTTCCAGGTTTCCGATGGTGGTCTAGCTTCAATTGACTCATGATTTGAACTTTGAAAAAAAACATTTTAGAAATGACTAGCAGATGATGTATTAGCTAATAAGAAGTTATGTAATGAATGGGAACACACACAAATGGAACAACCGAATGGTAATCAATTATCTTAAACTTCGGTATTTTTCCGCTTCTGATAAGTCTTACTGTTTGGACGCTATACTCAGATCTTAATCTAGTCTTGTAACCCCCAAGCTAGAATTACACAACGAATTGAACACGAGAAAAAAGGCACAAAATATGTGAGAAGCACTTTACTCCAAAGGTACATTTGTGTGCAGAAAATATAGGGCATTTATAGTATTTTAGGGGTCTTCGGGTTTTCCTGAATATTCTAGAATACTACTAAACATAGTAGCAGTGTAGTAATCAGCCAGTAAGAACCTCTACAAGTGACTTTTCATTTTCGCATTACTTCTAGAAAAACTTCTAATCAAGCAATGATTGGATAAAATGCTTCTTAATGTTTCCTGAGCTTGTCATATCAATTGTGAGAAATTTTCAGGATCGTCCAAATAGTTTCCATACTCATCATTCTCTGTTCTCGTTCACTTTTCTTTCATGTTCTCAATGTACTGCCACGAGGTATTTCAATTTCTGTCGACGTCAGTAGCAGGATCAATGTAACAACAAATACACAAAAACAGTATAGTATGTGGCTTTCCAAGTAAACCACTTACTTCGGTTTGGGCACTCGTACAGTATCACAGACCTCACACAAATCAAGTGACTTGTGCGGCTTAAATGTATACAGTGTCCTTTTTTATCAATATTTATGTGTTCAAATAAACATCCCTATGAGTTTTGAACCACGAATCTGTGATCACGTATAACGTGCGTCATTATTGCCTCTTCATGCATCTACCCATCACATATTTCACATTTTAAGTCAAACAGGCTAGTTTTTTCAATACATCATTTCAAAATTTATACTGTCAATGTACACGTCGTTCTTAATGATGGAAACATACTGAACAAACTGTGCCGTGAGCTCTTGTTGTCGACAGATATAGGTAATACGTACCACTAATCGAAAGTGGGAAGTTTATTAGCCGAAAGTTCACAAAAGATTCAAATAGACGAGAACAGCAAGCACTCGATATGAAACTCAAACAACAATGAAGTATGTACTGTATACTACACAGACATGACTAAGACATTCTATTATTGTATGTTCAAATACATTTGCTTGATAAAATACAAAATAGTTGAATTCATGAGTCAATGGAAGCTAGACCACCATAGAAAATGTGGAAGCACTAGGTGGCACTGGATGCGCACTGCTGAGGAATCCCACATTAGGACAATAACTTTCGTCAATTGACTCATGATCTCAACTATTGAAATTACTATAATATCCACAACACTCCTTCTGATATTAAAATACAAAATACTTATAAATGTACAATAAAAGATGTTTATAACTTACTTATTGATAGTAGTGAATGAATAGGCAAGAAGAACACGCTGATACAAAGTATTATTGATAGGAACATTTTCAATTGGAACCTCCTTTTCTGCTCTCGCTGTCTCTCGCTCTCTGTTGTTGTGCTTTTATATCATCAGTAACCAATGGTTGATGATATAAAATAAAAGAAAATGATTCGCTTTCAAAAAAATCAAGTTTTGTAGCCAAAAACTAGGGGTTTTAGTTTAATTAACTTACCTGTGATTATCATCTTTTACCTTGGATACACATTTGTCGACTAATTTATTGATTGATTACAAAACATTCTCAGAAATATATCTGGATATCTTATAGTGTTATTCAAGCTGAATATACAAGTTTTATAAACAAAGATAGATATTGGCTAGCAGTGGAATCCAGGACGGACATTTCGTCCTATTCCGGACTCGTCAGCTGGATGTACCTGCATCTCAGACTTATTGATGTTCACACTGAGACTCGAACTCAGTACAATTCACTTTAAACTCCATCACGTTATCCATCTAGCTATTGAGTACTGATAGTCACTTGCTTGTGCAATGAGGTGAAGTTTTAATTAACTTGGTATTGTTTACTTGTTCCTTTCCATTGTTAGTCATCATCCATCTTTACTTATAAAGCTTATGAATTAAAACGATACCGAGGCACTCCTAACAGGATGCCGATGTCTCTAATGTGAAATCTCCATTCTGTTTTATTATGAAAATGATTATGATCTAAATAGTTTTTCTTTGCTTATTAACATACCATACCAGTCTAACTATATACTTTATTAAACATAATCATTAATAAAAGTGGAGTTTCAAAGTGGACATTTTAAAGACAATAGTCTATTGAAATTCATTGAATGAACTTTGTTAAATTTAACGGTGAATTATCTAAACTAAGATCACAGATCATACGATTGTCATAAGTATTGAAATCAAATTACGGAGGATCCATCTAAGGGAGTTAGAAAACTCTCATTTCATATCAATGGCACATATGCGCTCCAGTATCCTGTTGGAACAATTGGAGTATGAATCCGTAAAGTAGATATTGCTATATTTTCTCAATTATACTAAATACCATTTCGAGTTGCTTTGTGGTGTGTGCTATCGATATAAGTAGTATGTTCCATCGATAGGAAGTGAAATACTTGGTGACAGAAGGTTAAGAATACCAAAGAAAAGAGAATGAGGACAGAGAATGATCGGTATGGAGACGAAGAAACAATCTAGTCTTACATGATTGACTGACATTTTCCAAATGAAGTATTAACTGAATACTTCTCAGATTTTACTAAGAGATTGTGTAATTTTGTGTTGATACACATAGACTAATTGGCGGCCTGTTTAAACATCTGGGCTACCTGTTCCTGTCATCTAGATATTTCAACACGTTATCTAATTTCGTTTGTTTTAATACATCATAAGGCCTTTTAATCACACAACCTATTCAGGTGCGTTTCTGAAAAGTGTAAGACCTTTCGCTGTAAAGGTTACAGAAGGCCTAATTAGAGATACCGTGGTTGCTGGCAATATGCAGCGAGAAGGTTGTACATTATCCAGATGTCCATTGACTGGGCTGCTAACTTCTAACTGGCGATCACTCAATATTTATCGTCAAGAAGGACGAAGAAGTAAGAAATGGAAACTTGTTGAAGTACTTTGTGCTGAGAATTCTATATTGTACCATAATACATAATATTGAATAAAGCTAATAATAATAAATAAATAAATAATTCGATTGTCCCTCACTTGTGATCTCCTTCACTACAGTTTTATGTTTCTTCATTGATCTAAACTAAGATCACAGATCATACGATTGTCATAAGCTCTGAGATCAGATTACTTGAACATAGAATAAACTTACTTGTAGTTTCTAACTTATTCAATCAAATATGTGCTAATGGTTATTTAATAATAGAAGAATTCACCAACAAGATTTACGGGCAGTACTATGTGAGTGAATTTGATAGTTAGTTTCTGGTAAGATAAGACAATTGATAGAAGTTTCCTGCGTTTTCAATGTCTATCTACAACCGTTTTGGTAAAGAGCTTCAAAAGACTCCCTATACATCATACTAACTTCTCCCAACACTCTACACAATACAGAAAATTCGTTTCTCAGAAGCCCATCAAAGAATTACGATGACTAGCAAACAATAGTAAGTTATGTGGAGCCTATCTATACAACAAGTCAAACAAGACACTTTCTCTGATCTAAATTACATAAGAGAAAATCGGTTTGGTGGATACGGAGGATTCAACTAGGGGAGTTAGAAAATCCTTATTCCAAATCAACGGTGCACATGAGCTTCAGGATCCTGATGGAATGAATGGCGTATGAACCTATTGTTGGTCACCGACTATCATGGGACTGCATCTCTTCACTATGCTCCACTGCCTTGTGGATCAGACTTTTAGGTCAAAGGCTCCGGATGTGATCCCTTAAGAAAACCACCTGCTTCAGTTTGCGCACCTGGGCAATATCACAGCCCTTACACAAATCGAATGAGATTTGTATGGCGCATGTATATCTGATGCTCCCTTGTACCAATATTTATGTGTTTAAATAACAATAAATAATCAATTGATAGGTAACAATGAGCAACAATAAGTAAATAAAATTTCCAGAATAGGTTATCATCTCATTGGAAATTAAATCATCTGTTATAAAGAGCAGTATGGTGTGGTCTACTTATATCCTCATAAGTAGTATATGGTAATAGTCAGACATAGAATGTATTTTGGCAGAAGACCGAAAAAGAAAGAACTGAAATGAAGCGCAATTGATAGGGAAGTGCATGAACAATGAAATCAGAGAAGATGGATTGATATTTGCAGAAGAAACGGTCAAGATTGAAACGATTGATTGTTATTTTGCAAATTAACTGTTGACTGTATGGTTATCAGATCTTAGTAAGACAGTTTGTAATTTGTGCTTAAATACATTCGATTGTCTCCAACGGGTGTTTTGTTCACTACAGTAATACACTAATTCAGTTTCAGTTTCAGTTTGGAAAGGACAGGAGGCTTGATGGCCTGTGTTAGTCCTGGCAATGATGGTCTCTCAGGTGATCCAACTTTCTTTTGAAGGAGTCGACGGATGGAGCCTCAACCACGTGCTGAGGTAATGAATTCCACTCGTTGATTATTCGATGGGAAAGTCGGTAGTCAGCTGACAAGTAGTTCGTTCGGGGCTTGTGAACTTTTTTGGAGTGTCCTCGTAGATTTTTCAACGAGGAAAAATAGTTTAACTATTAAACTTTCTAATGGATTCAAGTATCACTAAACTTGTATTTTGTGTAGCATTGTAACCTTTTTCTTTACTTGAATCTACAAAAGACAATAATAATTAGCGTAACTATTTATAAAGTGTTCAATAGACAATCACATTATGGTGGGTGCTACTGATGTCGACAGATATAAGTAGCATATATCATCAATAGAAAGTGAAATGTCTGGTGTGCAGAAGGTTAATAAGATTGAAGCAAAGAGAACGAGAACAGAGAATGATTGGTATTGGAACGTAGGAACAATGAAATCTGAAATGATTGACTGATATTTTGCAAATGACGTGTTTTTTTTTACTGTATGGTACACAGATTTTACTAAGAGATTCTGTAATTGTGTGTTCAATTACATCCAGCTGTCCCTGCTTGTGTCCTCTTTCACTACAGCATTACATACGGTACGTTTATTCATTCTAAAGTGAGATCTGTGTTGAGTGCATAGAAGAGAAAGCGATTTCATAATTTGATAGCAAATATCTTTCAAATGGTTTAGTTGGGATAATAACCGTTTCCCTTGTCAACTTTTTTTAAACGTGAAGATTGAAATCACAAGTTTAATCGTACCGCTTCATTTTTCTTCCTATTACAGTCTTTTACAGAATCAAGGCGATTTCCTTGTTCGACAAACAAGTAAACGTTCCAGTGGTCGTGATACCATAGCTCATTGGAATGGAACTAATGGTGATTTAATCAATGGTAATCATAATGACACAATATTAAATAAAGATCATAATATGGATGGAACTGTTTTACGTATGGTTTTATCTGTCTTTTGGCATGGTCATAGACATTTCATTCTATATGGTGGACCAGAGACAGGTGAAGGTTGGCATTTAGAAGACGGTCATTTCTCCACAATATGGTAAGTAGTAGTAGTCACTTTTCTAGTCTAATGTTTTTTTGAACACCATGTATAAACGAATAATATTGTTTTCATAGTCGAAATCATGAGTCAAATGAAGCTAGATTACCATGGAGAACCTGAAGGCACTGGTAGGCCGTTTCGTACCATTATGGGATTCTTCAGCAGTGCGCGTCCACGATCCCGCATTCGCGAGATTCGATCCCAGGACCTACCAGTCGCGCGCCGGAACACTTAACCGATAGACCACTGAGCCGGCATCCGAATCTCCATAAAACCCCTTCTGAAATATTGTTTTCGATTAGATCCTCATCAGGCTTTGCTCTATTATACAGTAATATTTATATGAATATACAAAATTATTAAACCAACCAAGGCAGTTTATGAGTCAATTATACCAGTAGAATAGATTACATAATTAAACATAATAAGTGAACAGTAGAAATTGGTAGTGTGATGACAAGTGTACTTGTTGTGCTATGAATATCAGAGGCTTGGATTAATGTTACATAATGAGAAATAGGTCAATGATTAGAAAAATATAGATACTGAAATAACATTCATAAAAGCCATAAGATTACGTAATAAGAAGGAAGTGTTCAGATAATTGGACCGTGAAACGTATACTTGAGAAAAAACAAAATGGTAGTAGGGGGTGAAGAGAACAAACGTAGAAACAGTATGGAGAATAATAATGAATAAAATCATTCATTAAGGCCTAGGGAGAGATAAGGGTGTTACACAATTCTGATGTACACAAAGACTTGAATTGTTGACTCGAATTCCTATAGCTTCTGCTATTTGTAAGAGGCGAGATAGAACCCCATAAGAAAAACTAGTAGGAATACGATACTACATGACCGCTATCGATCATCTGTTATTGAACCGAGCTGCGTATTGCCTTGACAGTACCTTTTCCTAACTATGAAGGGAGATGTTCACTAACTATTTGGTTCAGTTGTCTGGTAGTACGCTCAGTATAGTTTATAGTGAACATAAAACTTTGCTGATTAGCGAAAATATATCTGGCACTAAACTGTTAGTGTTTCCCAGTCGTATGTTTTGGTTAATTATGACACGTTTTTCTTCGAAACCTCTGCTTCGATTGGCATTGTTTTCCAAAAGCTGTGAAGAATGTGACCGTAGTTAGCAGCTGTTACCTTACTGAACAACTAAGTTGTTTATTAGGTTTTTTGCGTCCAGTTGTATAAAACTCATATACAAAATGGAGACAAAAACTTTTGTCATAATCGGTTTCCAACCAGATATCATACCTGGCTGCTTTTGTTAAAAATTTTATATACGAGATGGATATGTGAACAACTGTGATATGCAATCTGAGTTACGGAATGTTCTTACCGGTTGCATCCTAAATGAAAAACACGTAAATATTAACCAGTTACTCACCAAGTTTTGGTATCCGTTCATCCAGTTCAATCATTACACACTGGTTCAATACACGTAATTTCACCCGTATTTTCTGTTTAAGAATAATGTCATATCTCATAGACAAATAGTACAGTAATATGCTTTCTAGTACTAAGTTTTATCAAGACAATATGGGTTTCATAATTAATATCATAATCGCATATAACCCATGCTACCGGCTACCAACTAGCACAACATAAATATTTTCAGTTTAGTTCTAGTTACTACTTGTGAGTAGCTTAGTATTTTCTTTGAAATATCATCTGTGTTTCGAGTCCGATAGTAGTGGGTCCATTTATTGTTCATACACGAATTCATCGAAAAACATTTCAATCAATTGAGTGATATTATTAGTGAACTTGTGTTTCAGAGATAGATTTGATCAACTAATTAACTGATCTTGAGAAAGTGTGATGAGGCCTTATGGTATTTACTTTTGACATTCCCTGTGTAATTGACCCAATTGCGTCACAAGACAAAACCCTTTCATAGAATCCTGAAGGCCAAAGGAAAAGAGAAGATCAAAGAACACATTACGCCGAGAAAGGGAAACAGATATGAGAAAAATGAACAAAAACTGGATAGAACTAGAAAGGAAGGTGCAGCCAGGACAAAGTGAGTTTGAGAATGCTGGTCAGCGGCCTATGCTCCATAGGGAGTAACAGGCGTAAGTAAGTGCAATTGACGAGCATTCAATCAATAGAAAATCTTTCGAATATTTTTTCATAAGTTTATTATCAGCTCTGAAATTTCTCTTGGATAATCACGATTGTCGTTTGTTTAATAACTAAAATTGTACAGGGAACTGATTGAATATCACATGAAAACTCAAACTCCCGTGACAGCGAAATCAGGAGCATGTCTTGTGACACCAATTTCAAGACCTGATTGGTAACTAGACAATCGTGATGTACAACTACTACAAAAAATTGGTCAAGTATGTTTTCAAACATTGTGTTTTACAAAAATAATAATCGATTTTAATAATGCCATTCTTATGCTTGTTATTTCGTAATGTGTGTCTCCTATGATGGAATAAACTGCCAAATCGTCCACGGAGGATAACTTACAGACTCATTCAAGATAAAGACCGGTGTTAGGCAAGGTTGTTTACTCTCACCCTTTCTCTTTCCCATGGTGATCGACTGGATCATGAAGACGTAAACATCTGGGGGAAAGCACGGGATAAAGTGGTCTGGCAAGATGCAGCTTGACGATTTAGACTTCGCAGATGATCTGGCTCCTCTATCACAAACGCAAAAACAAATGCAGGAGAAGATTACCAGTGTAGCAGTAGCCTCAGCAGCAGTAGGTCTCAATATAAACAAATAGAAAAGCAAGACTCTCCGATACAATACAACATGCACCAATGGAATTACACTTGACAGAGAAGCTTTGGAGGATGTGAGAACCTTTACATATCTGGGCAGCATCATTGATGAGCACAGTGGATCTGATGCAGATGTGAAGACGCGGATCGGCAAAGCAAGAGCAGCATATCTACAATTGAAGAACATCTGGAACTCAAAACAATTTTCAACCAACAGCAAGGTTAAGTAAGTAAGTATGTAAGTTATGTCTGTATAGCACAGAATACTTGAGAAATGTTACAATTGTTTTGGAAGTATTGCACATATTTAGCAGAAACTTCAAGCCAGAAACATTAACTCTTGTCCTAAGTTATTATGTAACATAGCCAAGTCAGTATCAGAGTCTGAATTTTCATCGATTATAGTTATTGGCATATGTCTATCCTCCGTCTACTGTAACGCGTAATGTCTGTGTTTTAAACTTCGAAGCAAGATTAGTTTTTTTGTTGGAGAACTGGATGAAGCGACAGGGTTCTTTGTTTTTTTCCACATTACCTCATAATGGAAAAAGAGCATTCTTCAACCTAACTATGGAATTTACTCATGACTTTCGACCTTGTTTGAGTAGCTACAGTCACAGATGTTAATTTTTGGTTGTACTTCAACAAAGGAAACGCCTGATTCTAATCGCTTCTCAAGTACATGCATGTATGGTTACTGCAGAATAATTGACAGCTGTCAGTAGTTTGTAGTATTCATGTAGTAGTGTGTATTATTTATTTTATATTCTGCATCTCCTTTTTATTACAGGGTAATTTTGGTGATGTTTATCGAGGTGTATATAATGGATGTGAAGTTGCAGTGAAAACTTGTCGTGTTGATATGACTGCATCAGATTTACGTAGGAAATTTCTACAAGGTGAAACAACTGCATTAAATTTTAATCATCCAAATATTGTCAAATTAGTTGGTATTGCTGTGCAATCTTATCCAATTATGATTGTAATGGAGTATGTTCCAGGTTGGTGAACTTTTCATGGTTTTCATGAATTCTAGCATATTTCATGTTTCATTTATGTTAACTTGTTATTCTTACTACTTACTAGCTATAAGTAGTTACATTTTCAAAGGATAAGGGTTGTAGCATGTGGATTGACAGTAATTTGTGACTGCACGTTAACAGTGTTGTACTAGAACTTGACCATAAATGTCTTTAGAGGATTGGTCTAATATTCCGTAACCATCGGCTGAGTCACGTTGAGGTTACTCTTCAAAAATGCAGAATGGTTGATGAAGTAGATCTTCAGCAACATGTATTATGTATATCCAACGAACGTCTATTGTAAACGACGTTTACTGGCCTGCAAATAAGTTGGAGAAAGATGGAGACGATAGGTTAGTAGCTTAACGTCAGTCCAGGAATTAATTAAAAGTTATTCTGAGACATATTGATAGATGCAAACTACCGGGTTACGTTCCTCAAAACTTTCTCAACCAACTGTTAGAAACATTGTGCCATGTTTGAGAATCGGTCAAAAGTGCGTAAACATATTTGGTATTTGCCTTCCTCGGATCCTCAATTTTGTAATCATTTTTTTTTTCTTCTTATCACCCTAATACATTTTGTCTACAGTCACATAATCTGTTTCTAATCTTTTTTCACTATCATGGTTCTAATGTGGTGTTATATTGGGTAGTTTTGCATTTTGTGTACCGAACTATACGTTGAATTTGTCTGGGACATCATTGGAAGTGGAACAAATATGTTTTCACAGAAAATGAAGATAGGTGACAGGAATATTATTGTTCCAATAAGGATAAAAAAAATTTATAATTAAGTGAATGAACTTTAGAATTCGTTGTGAACGTCAGTACTGCAATACATACAAATCCCACCAACTGGCTCCAAATGCAACAAAGTGCGTTCATTAAATTCCACTTGTAGCTACAGTTCAGAACTGAATTAAAAGTATGAAACTATAGGCAGTACTGAGGTTTCTGTTATATCTCCACGTATGCTATAGCAGACTGATATAATCTTGTATATCAATAACGGGGAAGTGTGAACGCTTTTCAAGTGAACTACTGTAAAATTCAAGTGAAACTACTATTGTGATGAGTTTGTTTTCCTGTTGTTTTATTCTCCGGGCTTTCACTTTCTCTCTGGATAATATTATCAGTACAAATATCAAATAGAAGTGAGTTATCCAGATAACAACGCCATGGTCACCATTCTTTCTGTCCTTATCTTTTTTGTGTATATCACATCACACTACTTATTACTACTCAGTAGCGGAGTATCAGTCTGTCACTTAGTTCATATAGGTATATACAACTACACATTGATTCCATCGAAAGGATCGTTTTAACTCTCTTCCTTTGATAAGTTAATAAATCGCATTATTCTAATTTATTCCGTTTGTTTTTCTTTATGTTCATTATAAAGGTGGTTCTCTGTTAAATCATTTACGTAAATCAAAAAATGCATTACCTGTTATGAAACTACTTCAAATGAGTTTAGATGCTGCTAATGGTATGATGTATTTAGAAGCGAGAAATTGTATTCATCGGTATGTTTTTTTTTATGCTTATTTAATATCATACTTTACTTTCATATGATTTTATTTATTCATTTATACACATAAATATTGGTACAAGGAGGTAGTACCAGATACATATGCGCCGCACAAATCTCATTCGATTTGTGTGAGGGCTGTGAAACTGCCCAGGTGTCCAAACTGAAGCAGATGGTTTTCTTAAGGGGCCACACACGGAGCATTTGATCTAAAAGTCTGATCCACAAGGCAGTGGAGCATCGTGAAGAGATGCAGTTCCATGATAGTCGGTGACCAACAATAGGTTCATACGCCATTCGTTCCATTAGGATCCTGGAGCCCATGTGCACCACCAGTTTGAAATGAGGGCTTTCCAACTCCCCTAGATGGACTTTCCGTGTCCACCAACCCGGTTAGAGCTCCTGCCGGACATTTGCTTTCCGTCCATTCACTTTGGTGAACAACACTCGTGCCACAAGAAGGCAGTGAGTAGGACTTCCCTGACCGAGGCTATATACGCGTGGCCGTGTGAGAGCATTTAAAGAGGGAGAGCAGACTCTCCCCACTCTCGGCCGTATCAGGGCATGTTGGGGAAACTTTCAGATGAAGCTCATATTTGATAAATTCAATGCTGATAATGATTGTAAACAGATTGATTGTTTCTTCTAATATCAGTGTAGTGTCTTTCAGTAGCAGTTGGCAGGAATACTGATCCGTAATTTCCATAGAAGGAACGTTACCACTAATCTAGTCGTGGTACACATAACTTCCTCCTCTTATCTGTAGTGTGTTTTCGAACATACGTTCTTTAACAGCTTTCAAGGGGATACAGTCATTATATGTAAATTGAAATGAACTCATCTTTCATAATTTTGCTTAATGAGTACAAATTAATGCGAGACTTTATGTAATAATGTGTAGCTTTGGTCAGATTTCCCTTAGTAACATTTGAATGAATAGAATATTTTGTTAATACGCTATTTGAAATCTGTTATGTTGGTTGATGTGTCAAGCCCACATAGCTTCTTCGAGCTTCCGAACAGACCAATTTGTTCATTCTTCTGGAGTCACATTTTAACCTTGTCAATTATTCACTTATCAACCTTGATTGTTTTTTGTATGAACGTATGTATGTACACTTCTTATCCTATTCATCACATGTCTGTGACTTATTTTTATATGACTATAAATATCGATTCACGCTTGGTGAAATCGACTTGGATTACATGGTTTCCTCACCACACGTCATTTCGCCTCACTCTCTTCGTTTCTTCGATAGTTTGTCTGGATCAAATTTGATGTTGTTAGAATAAAACCTTTACATATCTGGGCAACATCATCGATGAACACGGTGGATATGATGCAGATGTGAGAGGTGGATCGGCAAAGCAATAACAGCATATTTACAACTGAAGAACATCTAGAATTCGAAATAATTGTCAATCAACACCAAGATCAGAATTTTCAATGCAAAAGTGAAGACAGTTTTACTGTATGTGGCGGAGACATGGAGAAATACGAAAGCAATCATCCAGAAGATACAGGTGTTTATTAACAGTTGTCTACGCAATATACTTCGGATCCGATGGCCAGACAGTATCAGCAACAAGTTACTGTGGGAGACAACAAACCAGATTCCATCCAGCGGAGGAAGAAATCAAGAAGAAGCGCTGGAAGTGGATAGGACGTACATTAAGGAAAGTAGCCAACTGCTTCACAAGGCAAGCTCTCACTTGGAGTCCTGAAGGTCAAAGGAGAAGAGGAAAACCAAAGAACACATTAGGCCGAGAAATGGAAACAGACATGAGAAGAATGAACAAAAATTGGATAGAACTAGATAGGCAGGCCTAGGACAGTGTGGGTTGGAGAATGCTGTTCCATTGGGAGTAAGAGGCGTAAGTCAGTAAGTAAGTAGAATAAAACTATAACCAATTGTAAATTTCGTGTATTCTATATCTCTCATTGTATATTATTCATTCTATCTGTATTAAAATAGTGATTTAGCAGCAAGAAATTGTTTAATTTCTGATGATGGTCAATTAAAAATAGCTGATTTTGGCATGTCAAGAGAAGAACATATATATGAAGTAAGTTGAAGAAATAGTTTTATATATGTATAGAATATCGGGGTTTAGGAACCTCATTTTTCATCAAATTTTTATGTAAGTATGCATTTATTATTTATTTAAGTACACACAAGGAGGCAATAAATAGATATGCTCCATATAAACCAAGTGATTTTTGTGAGGGTTGGGATACTGCCCCGGCTGCCCAAACCAGAGTAGGTGGTTTCCTTAGAAAGCTATTCCCGGAGACTTTGAACTACAAGTGTAATCCATAAGGCAGTAGATCTGTTATATCGTGTGCGTGCGTGCCCTGTTTAATATATAACGTGATGATGTCGCCAATCGGAGAGCAGTGGATCCTCGATCGGACCATTGATACACAAAACCCTTGCGAGCAGTCTAGAGTACTTATCAGTCCTGCTATCTGCCTGGGTTTATATACCGAACAAACTGACCACATCGTACTATAAAATAGGGAACAACATTTGTACAAGATTTAGCCAAATGTAGCTATGAATAGGGGGAACAGTAATTAAGAGACTGGGTATAACTCAGGAATGGTAAATCGTTTAGTAATAGTCTATGGGTCAAAATAAAGCTTATAATAAAGGGAACACGAATATGAAAAGTTTAGTTACTTAACAGTTATACAATAGGAAGTATATGCATCATATTGGTCTATAAATAGTCCTCGAAATTGCCATTCATAATTCTCTTCGGGATGTAACAGGATCAACGTCAGAAGATGCAGTCCCATGGTATTCGGAGATCAATAAATGGTTCATACGCCTTTTATTCTCTCAGGATCCTGTAGCCCATGTTCACAATTGGTTTGAAATCAGGATTTTCCAATTCCCCTAAGTGGATCCTCTATATCCACCAACATGGTTAAAGCGTCAAACATTCGCTTGACGCCTTCTCAATTTCTTAAACATCAGTAATGCCACAAGAAGGCAGTGAATAAGATTTTTGTGACAGTGGCTGCATACGAGTGGTCATGTGAAAGCATTTTTTGAGGTCGTACTAATTCTCTTCACACTTTTGGCCGTGCCATTGCATCTGGGGCAAAGACTTGAGTTCTGAGAGCTATGCTATATTAAAGTGACCGAATCCACTATCTTCCATTATTTTTACTGAAAGATTTTATATCACAAGGAACTTTCGTTATATAATTCAATTACTATGAAGGAGTTTCACGAAAATATCTATCAAAGGTCAACACATTTCTTAAACATTACGGTTTTTAGCCGTACTGTGATATTCTAATAACAGTGTCTTTACCGAGGTTTTCTTTATATTCCTTCATATGACAGTGGAGATTCATCTTATCTATCTATCTATCTATGTTTTTCTAGTTAAGTGATAAACGAGGTCAAATCCCTATCAAATGGACAGCTCCTGAAGCACTTCGTACTGGTCGTTATACTATCAAATGTGACGTTTGGTCTTATGGTGTACTTTTATGGGAAATATTTACTTTCGGTGATGTACCTTATCGAAATTGGTCTAATCAACAAACTAGGGATATGATTGAATCAGGTAAGTTCTCTAATTTCTCAAATCTGTTATGTAAGTTTCTTTATGCTAAATGAATGAATGGAATTAACGGGAAGTTATGGATTCAATTAGTATTGTTTGTTTGAATCTTCCCATTGATGTCTAGGACTGCAACTGGTCGGTCTTTTATTGACATATGTGCTTACTGTGCGTATTGCCTCGATATAGCCTAAACTCACAAGCATGGTAAGTAAAGATGGATAGTGGCTAGCAATGGAATGCAGGACGCGTATTTTGTCCTATTTGGGACTCGTCAGATGGATGTACCTCTATCACAAAGTTGATGATCATTCTGGGACTCGAACGTAATACTGTTCGCTTCAAATGCCATCGCGTTATCCACTCGGCCACTGAGTCGTGATAGCCACTTGCTAGTGCGATGGGGTGAAGTTTAAATTTACTTAGTATTGTTTGTTTGAATCTTCCCATTGATGTTTTTAGGACTGCAACATGGTACTTGGTTCGAGTCCCAGAGTGAACATCAACTCTAAGATGCAGGTACATCCAGCTGACGAGTCGCAAAATTGGACAAAATGCGCGGCAAAGTGGATTCCACTGCTAATCACTATCCATCTTTGCTTAAAAAGTTTTGGAGTTTAGTTCTATGCTAACTTAATTTTATCAGTAATATATCGATACAATGATTTCTTGTTTTTCAATATTTTCTCTTATCAGGTTATAGATTACCTGCACCAGATTTAATGCCAGTTTGGTTACGTACATTAATGAATCATTGTTGGCATGATGAACCAATGAATCGGCCAAGTTTTTCAAAAATTTCTAATGAAATACAAATACCTAATGTCAATTCATTTACACCAAATTTAAATAGATATATAGACAATGCTCAATTGAAGAAATCTGCTATTGACAATCTATCAACAACTCCATTACATTTATCCGTTTCTGTTAAAGATAGACGAACTAGAGAAGATTAATATGGATCTATTCTTTTGTTACTATGCCCTATACATACATACACATACATACAATAGTTCATATAGATCTATATACATACATGTAATTGTGTATATGTATTGCAATCTCTTTTTTTGTTTTTTTTTTTGGAAGCGCCTTTATTTCACTGTTATTCACTATGGCAACTAACTTACAGTTCCGAGTGATAAACCTTTCTATTTATTATTATCATTAATATAATTGATTCAATTCATGATATATGGTATACATAATTGTACTGTAACCATGCATATCATATAATCCACTACCTATGATCATTGTAATTGTCATTATGTCATTTCATTTTAATAATTTTTATGATTTCAATTTATACTACTTATATACTTATTTAATCCTTCTTTCATTGTTTCTTATCTTTACTTATAGACTGTGATAAAAAGTAGATTTAATTTGTATATTCTCTTCAGATTACATTACATTTACCATAAACAAAATAATACACATCAATGAATGATTCTCAAAGAGAAAGGGAGTATGTGTGTGTGTGTGTGTGTGTAAGTGTTCAATATGACATACATTCACAATGTAATTTATGATATGGATTGAGTAAGTGCCTGCTTACCCTGTCAATATACATAAATATATATATGACGTGATGATCCCCCTGGCAATCAGTGAGGAGTTACCATTCATTAATCTCCATGGAATATAACATAGTTCATCCAATATTTCATTATTGAATATAGACACTTAATTACTTATGTATACTTGAACTAACTTACCTACTTACTTATACCTGTTACCCCTTGTAATCTATACGCACATATACTTCTGTAGTTATTCTCATAGGATGATTCTTTGCAAACCTTAATAGGAATAATTGTCTCATTGTTTTCTTTTCTTTTTTTTTGTATATTCCATTGTATTCTTATGAATGTAGGGGGGTTTTGTTTTTGAAGGGTATTAGGTAATTATTACAAATTGTAACTTATAACTTACTTTTTATAGAAGTAAATAAACAAAATTGATACAAAGTATTAGTAGTATTGGTATTATTATGTAATGCAACTCGAACGGATGTACGTACGAGATTCTACGTTGTGACTGACTGTATGTATTGATGTTGTTTGATGTTATTGTTATACTCTGTTGAAATTATATTTAGTTGATTGTTTGTTAATATGACTGATGAAGTTATAGTGTGTTAGGGTTATAGGCTAGAGTACTTGATATAATGGTGATGTATTTCATTTGAGATTGAGTAATTCTTTTTTAAGCAAAGCCGAGGAGTACAATTTTTTTAAACTTACTTACGCCTGTTACTCCCAATGGAGCATAGGCCACCGACCAGCATTCTCCAACCCACACTGTCCTCCACCTTCCTTTCTAGTTCTATCCAATTTTTGTTCATTCTTCTCATGTCTGTCTGCATTTCTCGGTCTAATGTGTTCTTTAGCCTTCCCCTTCCCGTTTGGTCTTGAGGATTCCAAGTGATGGCTCACCTTGTGATGCAATTGGGTGATTTTCTGAATGTGTGTTCTATCCACTTCCAACGCTTCTTCCTGATTTCTTCCTCCAGTGGAATCTGGTTTGTTGTCTCCCACAGTAGAATGTTGCTGATATTGTCTGGCCAACGGATCCGAAGAATCTTGCATAGACAACTGTAAATAAACACCTGTATCTTCTGTATAATTGTTTTCGTTGTTCTCCAAGTTTCCGCTCCATACAGTAGAACTATCTTCACATGTGTATTGAAAATTCTGATCTTGGTGTTGATTGACAATTGTTTTGAGTTCCAGATGTTCTTCAGTTGTAAATATGCTGCTCTTGGTTTGCCGATTCGCGCCTTCACATCTGCATCAGCATTTGCGTTCGAATTCTCTTGGTGTGGTTGAGGTTTATTGGTCCGTGTTGTTCAATGA